AAGCCAGAAGCCAGGAGCTTCTTCCAGGTCTCCCACGTGCGTGCAGGGGCCCAAACGCTTGGGCCATCTTCTGCTGCCCCCCCCCCCGGGCACATTAGCAGGGAGCTGGACTGGAAGTGGAGCAGCGGGGACTTGAACCGGTGCGTGTCTGGCTTCGTTCACTCAGCAGTGTTTCCAGGGTTCACCGTGTCGTTCTGATCTCTGTGCCTCACTCCTTTTCTGGCCAGCAGTATTCCCGTCCGTGGACACACCGCATTTTGTCTGTCCCTACACTTGTCGGGGGATAGTTGGGGTATTTTGGCTATTGTGAATAGTACGTCTGTGAAACCCTATGGTTTTGATGTTGACTGCTTCCTTGTATGTTATTTCTCCCAGTGACGTTGGAAGACCAGTGAAGGCACGTGGGTCTTGCTGACTGTGTACTGTGGAATGTGTGTTGATTACAGTGAAATCTGCATTTCAGATTTGCTGTTTTACTATCCTCCACCATGGTGTATTATTTTTTTAAAAAGATTTATTTATTTATTTGAAAGAGTTACAGAGAGAGGTAGAGATAGAGAAAGAGGTCTTCCATCTGCTGGTTCACTCCCCAATTGGCCGCCACAGCTGGAGCTGCACTGATCTGAAGCCAGGAGCTTCTTCCAAGTCTCTCATGTGGTGCAGGGGCCCAAGGACCTGGCCCATCTTCTACTGCTTTCCCAGGCCATAGCAGAGAGCTGGATAGGAAGTGGAACAGCTGGGTCTCGAACCATTGCCCATATGGGATGCTGGCACTTCAGGCCAGGGCTTTAACCCACTGTGCCACAGCGCCAGCCCCAACCATGGTGTATTATTAAAAGAACCCGGTCATTTGTCATTTGTGGAGTTTTCCACAGCTGAATTCTGATTGCCTTCCTGAACTGTCATTAACGACATCCTACACTGTGTCCTACAAACTGGTGATCGGATCTAACAGCTTGAGCCGGTCTGTTTTCTTCTTAAAGCTTTAACATTTGATGTGTGAGTGTGTATGTGTGTGTGTGTGTGTGTGTGTGAAAGTGTGCATATGTGTGGGGGGGGGGTCAAGCTACCCTATGGGAGTGCCTGGTTTGAGCTGTGGCTATTTCACATTTGAGATCCAGCTTCCTGCTGGTGTGCACGCTGGACAGCAGGAGATGATGTGTGCGTGTGTGTGTGTGTGTGTGTGTGTGTGTGTTGATCATTTTGTTGTGTTCTCCAGCACTGGGTGTGTATTTTACTGTCATTTTCAAGGGTGAGTGGTTGTAGATTGATAATTTATTAATTAGGATTTTTTAAAGATTTTTTTATTTTGGGCTGGTATTGTGGTATAGCAGCTTAAGCTGCTGCCTGCAAAGTCAGCACTTTGTATGGGTGCCGGTTCAAGTCCCAGCTGCTCCACTTCTGATCCAGCTCCCTGCTAATGCGCCTGGAAAAGCAACAGAGGATGGCCCGGGTGCTTGGGCCCCTGCACCCACATGGGAGACCCAGAAGAAGCTCCTGATTCCGGTCTTCAGCCTGGCACAGCCCTGGCTGTTGCCGCCATTTGGGAAGTGAACCAACGGATAGAAGATCTCTCTCTCTGTCTGTCTCTGTCTCTGTCTCTCCTCTCTCTCTCTGTAACTCTGCCTTTCAATTAAATAAATAAAATCTAAGATTTTTTTGACAGGCAGAGTTAGACAGTGAGAGAGAGAGAGACAGAAAGGCCTTCCTTCTGTTGGTTCACCCCACAAATGGTTGCTACGGCCAGCACACTGTGCCAATCCGAAGCCAGGAACCAGGTGCTTCCTCCTGGTCTCCCATGCAGGTGCAGGGCTCAAGGACTTGGGCCATCCTCCACTGCCTTCCTGGGCCACAGCAGAGAGCTGGACTGGAAGAGGAGCAACTGGGACAGAACCCGGTGCCCCAACTGGGACTAGAACCTGGGGTACCGGCGCCGCAGGCGGAGGATTAGCCAAGTGAGCCACGGCACCAGCCACAATCTAAGATTTATTTTTAAAAAGTTAACATTCAGTTTGTGTTCATCATTTTCAGGTGTTCAGTTCAGTAATGCCAACTATTGTGCAACCAATCTCTAGAACTTTCTCATCTTGCAAAACTGAAACTCTGAACTCACTAAACACGAGTCCTCCCCCACCCCCACCCCCACCCCACTCACGTCTTTAGTTTAAATGTAATTCTGGAGATCTGTGTAAGTGTGGCTCCCGAAAGCCTGCAGAGAATTCTGAGTTTTGGTTGAGAAGTCGTAGCTGAGTGCAGTCTGTGCGCTGGTGCCGGGTTGTCTGCTGTTGACAACAGGGAGGGCGTGTTTTCGTGGCGTTCCTCCTCCGCGCCGTCTCTGATCGGGGAGTACAGCTCACGTGTCTACGAGTAAAAATGTGCACAAGTGCCCCGGAGGCATCTTCCTGTCGGACAGTCCTGGGCTCGGCGTGGGCTCTGCGGAGTGCAGCTCCGAGAGGGGGGCCCTGACGTCCCCTCAGAGACGGAAGAGCAGACGGACAGAAAGCTCACTGAGTCTGTGAATGTCTGACTTGCTCTCTCCCGTCAGTCTAATCGAGGCCAAGTTGGTGGCAGGGTCTGTTTCAAAGAAAGGAAAAATAAGACTTTTGGTTATCTCAAGTTTATTTTTCCTTTGTAACTGATGAGGGTTTGGGGAGCTTATTCTACCTTAATTCACACTGTCTTTCACATTTCCTATATGCCCATTTTATCTCCAAAAAAGTTTAGCGAAGAGAGTTGTCAGAGAATCACTGAGCGTTAGAGTCAGTTTAACCAGAAATCAGGACGTTTGTCACCTGTGCAGCTATCGCTGCTACTTCATGCAATATATTTTTCTGAAAAGTTGCCTACACTGAATTTTATTTTATCTTTATTATTTGTAAGGCAGAGTGAGAGAGAGAAGGATCTTCTGTCTGCTGGTTCACCCCAAATGGCTGCAATAGCTTGGTCGGGGCCAGGCTGAAGCCAGGAGCCGGGAACCCCATCCGGGTCTCCCACGTGGGCAGCAGGGGCCCAAGTGCTTGGACCATCGCTGCCCCCCGGGCATTAGCAAGGAGCACTCCCGTGGGGACACTGCCGCCACCACAGGTGCACCACAGTGCCGGCCCCAGTATTCTTGATTTTTGAGGCAGGATGGAACTACAATTAGCTGTCCATATCTTTCTTGATCATTTCATTTCTTCTAATATTGCGGCCAAGAAATGGCATTCCCAGCAGAACCCTGTCACCTGGCCTAACCCTTCAGCCCAGGTCACGAGTGCACCTGTAAGCCAACCCACACGCTCCCTTCACCGCCCACGTCCCTCACTCCCACGGAGCTCGACCTGGACAGCTCCCGCTTCTCCCGGTTCTCCACTCATCACCGGGCGTCACCCATCAGTGTGAAACCTCCAGCTCTCTGCTCTCCCCCGCCGTGTGATAAGCCTGCAGCCCCTACTGGGCAGAGCTGGGTTGCTAAGGTTCACCGGGAAGTACTGAGATTATTTGAGCAGGCGGCGTCTCCCGTGAGCGACGAGGCACCTCCCCTCTCTATAAATTATGCACTTGGAAAATGGGCCCAGCAAGTGCTGGACATAAATAATGGATACTCCAGCTGTCCTAAAGGACGAGCTGACCACGGCATCGATGCAGACGGCTGCTGCTTGTGTTTTCGGGTCCGATGGGTATCTTTCAAGGGCCCTGGAGGTGCTTCGATTTGGGCTCTGTTGCCCTCCCTTGGTCATGTTTTCCTGTTTGTTGTTTAGTTCAAGACTTGCCTGGCTTTGTGGTGAGGGGTTTTACCCACACTGTTTCTTTTAATAGATGTTTCCAGACTCAAGCTCCATGGGTAGGAAATGAACGTCAGGTTCTGTCTCTGTTCAGAGCCTTCCTCTCTGCCTCCCCTCCCATGGTTCCTCTGCAGGCTGGAAGCGCCCGCCCTCATTTTTCAGTTTGCTGTAAGTCTTCAACAGAAATTGCAGCCGACAGGGAGTTTTTATGTAGCCAGCCTCTGCCCTTTCACAGCCTTTGTGCTGATTTGAGACCTGGAGTGGGAGGGGTTGGTAGAGGGTGTGCTGTGAGCTTCCCCGGGGCCCCTCGCCCTCACAGGAGAGCTGGGTCACACCAGTGTGTGGCAGAAGCATTCACCCGCATGGCACCGCCAGGCTTCCCTCGGCCTCCCTCGGAGACTTACCAGTGCCGTCGCATCCTGGCACAACCCTCCCCAACCCCCCAGCCCCCGAATTCTGACCCTTGATTGCTGATGTTGGCTGGCAATGGCATTGTGTGGGCAGCAGCCCTGCCTTGGCTTGGCCGGTGACAGTGGAACACAGGGAACCTGCCGGGACCGTTAGCCCGGGGTGAGGCAGAGCTGAGGGTGTGTGTGACCTTTCACAGTCCTAACCATCTGCCGGTTCAGCTCCCTAGGGCCTGTGTGGTGTTTGGTAGGTAAAGCCAGGGCAGCCATGCTGTTTGAATTCTCAATTTCCTAGGACACAGTCATGTGTTTAGCAGTAACCTAAAGTGTGAAGAACCCTCGCTGCAGAGGATTATGGGGGAACAGAAGTAGACAGGTGGGAACTGAGGCTTATGCGTGTAGGTGTGAGCTGGCTTATGGAAATCCAGGCGAAGAGAAGTGTACACACGTGTGTTACACGTGCTCACACCCGTGGTTAGCATTCTCAAATGCTTGGAACAATTACTTCAGATTCAAGGGGAAGAAAATGAGCGACAGAATACTAGTATGTGTGTTCATTAGTGGGCGTCGTGGAACCTCGTGGTCTGAGCTGATGGTATCACAGATAACGATAAGGACGCAAGAATGTGAAACGGAAAACAAGCATCCAGTCTATGTTTGCTATCTTGGGTTTTCCCTGCCAGATTTTGTGCTGTTGTCCCAAATCAGGAGACGCCAACCCTGTGGGGTCGGAACTGCTCTCTCTCTCTGTTTTGAGGGGCTGGCAGGTTTCGCTAGGTTGTGTGGTTTCCGTTTGTTTGCCTGATGGCGTTTGTCTGTCCTTCTCTAGGAAGCTATTTTGCCAACCACTTCATCATGGGAGGAGAGAAGTTCGACTCGACGCACCCTGAAGGCTACCTGTTTGGCGAGAACAGCGACCTGAACTTCCTGGGAAACAGGCCCGTCGCGGTACGGCTGTAACCGCTTCATCTCCACGGGGCCCAAAGCGCCAGGCCCAGCCTCCTCCCAGAGGCAAACGGGCGCTGCTGGTTCCGTAGTCTAGCTCGGTCTGAGCTGAGAGGGGCCCTGGGAGCCAGACCACAGCCGCTGGTTATGCCGGGGGCCTGGGGCCGGAGGCGACCTGCAGAAGGGCTCCTGGAGGCGGTGAGGGTGAGCGTGGGTCACCCTGAGGTCGGCGCAGCCCTGCTGCCGGCCTCCGCCTGGGTGTTCCACTTCTCCTCCTCGTGGCACTTAGCACCACACTTGCATTCGTCTCTCTGTTCCTGTTGTCTGCCTTCTCCTTTAGAACGTAAGTCCCGCTGGGCAGGGGCCGTGTTACTGCTGTGTGCCAGGCCCAGGAGAAACCTGTTGAGTGAGTGACCGAGGAAGAGTCCCTGGACACCCGAGATACCAGGTCTCGGCTCACCCCGGGGGACGTGTGCGTAGCCCCATCTGTGCAGCCAGCAACCAGGCTTTGGATGGTGGTGGCTGCTGTGTGCCACGGAGGGCCCTCGGGCTCCTCAGGAAGACCCCCGGGCGGGCTGAGCGGCGGGAGCCGAGCAGTGGCCGTGGCGAGCAGCCAGGGCGTGAGCGCGTCCTGTGCTCCAGGCACCGTCCCAAGCGCTCCGTATCCGTTTTTCAGAAGTCCTCGGACCGGGTGTGCCTGGCCACGGCCAGTGACCTTCCCACTGCTTCTCACTGTCTCAGAATAGTTTGCCCTCCTGAGGAGACTCGTTGGTGGGGGCTGGCAAAACCTCTAAACAAGACGTGCGGCGCTAACAGTGGCGGTCTGAAGGGATCCACCTGTGGAGGACTTGGGTGTGGGAGAGAAGGGTGCTGAGAAGACGAGGAGTGGAACTTGGAGGAATGGCTGCGTTTGACCGGGCTCGGGAAAGAGGTTTTGCAGGAACGAGGCCCAGAGTGCAGGCCCGAGTGCGAATCGGCAAATATTTGCCGAGCAACTACCGCGTGCCAGGTGCGGTGATGGGAGCTGGGGACACGCAGCAGGAATAAACCCAGAACCAGTCAGGGAGGCAGCCTGGCCCAGGGCAGAACAAGGTGGCAAAGGCATATACGGGCCGTTCCCTGGAGAGGTGGGGAGCAGTTAAAGCGTTGGGCAGGGGCCAGCGCTGAGGTGTAGCAGGTAAAAGCCGCTGCCTGCGACACCAGCATCCCGTATGGGCGCCAGTTTGAGTCCCGGCTGCTTAATTCCCATTCAGCTCCCTGCTAATGCACCTGGGATAGCAGCGGACAGTTAGGCTTTGGCCTGACTCTGACTTTCAAATAAATAAATAAATAATTTTTAAAATGTGTTAGGCAGGAGAAATTGCTTCTTTTTTATTTTTATTTATTTATTTCTTGACAGGCAGAGTTAGACAGTGAGAGAGAGAGAGAAAGGTCTTCCTTTGCCGTTGGTTCACCCTCCAATGGCCGCCACGACCGGCACACCGCGCTGATCCGATGGCAGGAGCCAGGTGCTTCTCGTGGTCTCCCATGGGGTGCAGGGCCCAAACACTTGGGCCATCCTCCACTGCACTCCCGGGCCACAGCAGAGAGCTGGCCTGGAAGAGGAGCAACCGGGACAGAATCCGGCACACTGACTGGGACTAGAACCCGGTGTGCCGGCACCACAGGTGGAGGATTAGCCTAGTGAGCCGCGGCGCCGGCGAGAAATTGCTTCTTAAGGAACATTGGCAATGGTCTTCCATCGTGGGGCTTAATGGAGGTGAATTTCCTTATCGTTTATCTTGTTGTCTTCCTCCTTTTTTTTTTTTTAAGATTTATTTTACTTGAAAGAGTTACATGGAGAGAGGAGAGGCAGAGAGAGAGAAAGAGAGAGAGAGGTCTTCCATCCACTGGTTCACTCCCCAATTGGCCACAAAGGCCGGAGCTGAGCTGATCCGAAGCCAGGAGCCAGGAGCTTCTTCCGGGTCTCCCATGTGGGGGCAGGGGCCAAGCACTTGGGCCATCTTGCACTGCTATCCCAGGCCATAGCAGAGAGCTGGATCCGAAGTGGAGCAGCCGGGACTCGAACCGGCGCCCGTATGGGATGCCGGCGCTTCAGGCCAGGGCGTTAACCCGCTGCACCACGGCGCCAGCCCCATCACTGCTGTCTGGGTGAGCCCTCGTCTCAGCCAGCAGTAACGCTTCAAATGCAGAGCCCCTTGTGCTTCTGCCCCTCACGTGTGCACCCTGGGTTTTCCTGGTACCACCCCGTGGCCCTAGCGCTGAGAGAGGTCTGTCTTAGGAGTCCCCAGGAGTCAGCTCACGCTCTTGATTCTGACACGGACTAGACATTTGCATGCTTCCTTCTTTATCTTTTTCACTTCCTCTGATGTCAGATTAGTTTATATATTTTTAAAAAACGTGTTTTGGCCTTTTCAGGCCATACAGTCTATCTTAAAATAAGCAAGTGCTTCCCTGAGCTGGTTTTGAGGTTTCTTCTGGCTGGCAGCCTTGCCACGGTTCAGTTGCTTTGTCCGCACCTCTGTGCAGGCCTCTGGGTGACCGAGCTCTGCCTGAAGCACAGTGCCGCAGCCTTGGCCTTAAATTTGAGGCTTTATTTTTTCCCCAAAGAGCACGACGTTGGCGTGTCTGTTGCTGTTGTAGCTGGCAGTCGTTCAGTATGCCTGGGGCTGTAGTGAACAACTGCTTGCAGAAGACACCACGGTTTCGTGTTAGGGAAGCACACGGAGGGATCCGACGCCCCACACAGAGGCGCGTGCCGACGGAGCTAGCACACTCCCTCCTTCCCACGGGCGTTGTTCACTGACCACAGTGATAGCAACGTGTAACCCTCGCAGCTCACTCCGCACCCACCCTGCTCTCTGGTTTTGCCTGCACACCCTAACGCAGAAGGCCCCGTGTGACGGCTGGAGGCCTGACGTGCGAGAGGTTACATAAGCTGCAGAGCCCAGAGGGGCCGGATCAGGGCTTCTACCCAGCTGGCTGGTTCCAAAGCCTGAGCCGCTGCCCGTGCTGCTGACCAGCGCAGGTGCCTCTGGGACCTCTGCCCGTTTCCTGTCCGCGAATCCGTTTTTGTAGCGCACCAGGTACAGTTTGAGACGTGGGTCGAGTTCTAAAAGTGGAGCCAGTGGGAGTGATATGTTTTCCTGGGGGATCTCTTCAGAGAGCCCGAGTCGGTGTGTAATTCCATCTGCCGAGCTGACCTCTGGGCTCTGCCCTGACCGCACTTGACATGCTTGGTTAGGGAAGGCCCAGGGACCGGGACTGCTGTGTAGACTGACGTCCACTCTCTAGTAACCCGGCTGGGGTCAGCAAAGCAGCGTCAGGTTACAGAGGAGCGAGGATGGCCTTTTAAAGCCATCAGCAGCGCGCGGCGACAGCAGCTCCCCTTTCCAGAGGGAATCGGTGTGGGCGCTGAAGTTATTGAGACAAATTGTTATTCTAAAATAGACGTGCCCCGGCGTCCTGGCTTCTGGGGCTTGTGGCATTTCCTGCCGTTTCTGAGTGGGAGACTGGACGTCACTCCCGAGCTGTCCCTTGGGCTGCACTTTTACTGGAGCACTGGGGATTCACACGTCGCTGAAGATACTCCGCCAAGCCAAGTTCATTATTAAGTCTTCAGGGTCAGATTTAAGGACACTGGAGTGCGTGTTTATGCAGAAAAGCAGTGGAAGAGAGCTGGGATCGAGATGGCAAGTTGTATTTGTATCTGACCGTTAAACTCTTCGTAACCTCGGTCAGTCCATCACTCGGGTGCTCAGATTACCCGCTGGTGGAGCGGGCACAGCTCTGACTTCGGAGGAATGCCAGTCACTCGGGAAGGTGCCCACCGCGAGCTGCTGGAGCCAAGCGGGCTGCGCGCAGGCTCGCTGCCCTCGAGCTGGTCACCTCCGCGGCCACCCGTGGTTGTGGGGGCAGGAGGAGCAGGGCTCTGGAGGTCTCACCATCCCGGTGTCTGTAGCGGAGCTAAGGGGCCGGTGGACCACCTTCGTACAACGCCGGGCAAACCCGCCCCAGCCGTCCCTTGGTGGTGGGAGAGCTGTGTAGCTTGTTTGTGCCCCTTTATGGAGTTCAGTCTTGTTTCGTTGAGCTAAACGCCTGCCACGGCTCCAAGTCAGTTACGGGCTTGGTGGATTGAGGATTGTCGCGAGTCTGGCGCTGCCTGGACTCTTCGGTATTGGTAGCTCAGGTCCACACCCCACCCTCCCCTGCTCTCCGAGGGAAAGTGGGTGAGTTTCAGCCTCACCCCTGAGGGTTCACGCGCACCCGTGTGTTCTGTAGCCCTGCTTCCTCCTCCTGCCCCTGAGCCAGGAACTTTCTTCCCTCTCTGATGCAGGAACCTCAAAAAGTGGTGCTAAGTCCATCTTCTGTGAGTTAAACACTTCACTCACATGTGTGCCGAAAGAGCAAACTATTTTTTTTTTTTTTTTAAGATTTATTTGTTTGAAAGGTAGAGAGACAGAGACAGAGGTTTTCCATCTGCCGTTTCCTTCCTCAAATGGCCGGAGCATCCATGTGAGGGCCAGGCTGAAGCCAGGAGCCAGGACCTCCATCCGGGTCCCCCCGTGGGTGGCAGGGGCTCGAGCGCTGGGGCCATCCATCATCTGCTGCTTCCCAGGCGCCTTCGTGAGGGAGCTGGTCAGCAGCGCAGAGTAGCTGGGACTTCCACTCCTATAACTGCCACCTGCTGTGTCACAACATCGGCCCCCAAGCCCTAGGCCGGCGCCGCAGCTTACTAGGCTAATCCTCCGCCTAGCGGCGCTGGCACACCGGGTTCTAGTCCCGGTCAGGGCGCCGGATTCTGTCCCAGTTGCCCCTCTTCCAGGCCAGCTCTCTGCTGTGGCCAGGGAGTGCAGTGGAGGATGGCCCAAGTGCTTGGGCCCTGCACCCCATGGGAGACCAGGAGAAGCACCTGGCTCCTGCCATCGGATCAGCGCAGTGCGCCAGCCGTGGCGGCCATTGGAGGGTGAACCAACGGCAAAGGAAGACCTTTGTCTCTCTCT